CTCGAAAGTGGCGACAGTTTCACACATCGCAGCCCCCCAGGGATGGCGAGGTCTAATTTGAGTCTGCGGTGGGTACCCACTGTGCTGGGCCCCCAGCAGCCCTCGAAAGTGGCGACAGTTTCACAGATCGCAGCCCCCCAGGGATGGCGAGGTCTAATTTGAGTCTGCGGTGGGTACCCACTGTGCTGTGCCCCTCAGCAGCCCTCGAAAGTGGCGACAGTTTCACAGATCGCAGCCCCCCAGGGATGGCGAGGTCGAATTTGAGTCTGCGGGGTAGCCACTTTGCTGTGCCCCTCAGCAGCCCTCGAAAGTGGCAACAGTTTCACAGATCGCAGCCCCCCAGGGATGGCGAGGTCTAAGTTGAGTCTGCGGTGGGTACCCACTGTGCTGGGCCCCTCAGCAGCCCTCGAAAGTAGCGACAGTTTCACAGATCGCAGCCCCCCAGGGATGGCGAGGTCGAATTTGAGTCTGCGGTGGGTACCCAATGTGCTGTGCGCCTCAGCAGCCCTCGAAAGTGGCGACAGTTTCACAGATCGCAGCCCCCCAGGGATGGCGAGGTCGAATTTGGTCTGCCGCGGGTACCCATAGTGCTGGGCCCCCAGCAGGCCTCAAAAGTGGCGACAGTTTCACAGATCGCAGCCCCCCAGGGATGGCGAGGTCTAATTTGAGCCTGCCGCGGGTACCCACTGTGCTGGCCCCCCCAGCAGCCCTCGAAAGTGGCGACAGTTTCACAGATCGCAGCCCCCCAGGGATGGCGAGGTCTAATTTGAGTCCGCGCGCGGGTACCCATAGTGGCTGGGCTCCCCAGCAGGCCTCGAAAGTGGCGACTTGTTCACAGATCGCAGCCCCCCAGGGATGGCGAGGTCTAATTTGAGCTTGCCGCGGGTACCCACTGTGCTGGGCCCCCCAGCAGCCCTCGAAAGTGGCGACAGTTTCACAGATCGCAGCCCCCCAGGGATGGCGAGGTCTAATTTGAGCCTGCCGCGGGTACCCACTGTGCTGGGGCCCCCAGCAGCCCTCGAAAGTGGCGACAGTTTCACAGATCGCAGCCCCCCAGGGATGGCGAGGTCTAATTAGAGCCTGCCGCGGGTACCCACTGTGCTGGGCCCCCCAGCAGCCCTCGAAAGTGGCGACAGTTTCACAGATCGCAGCCCCCCAAAAGGCAGGATGGCGAGGTCAAAGGCAGGGGGGGAAGCGAGGGACGGGAGGGGGTGGGAAGGAGACGGTGGGAAGGAGACGCGGTGGAAAGGAGACGCGCGAGCAGTGCTCTATTCAAAACGAGAACCCAACGCAGGAGGGTTTGGGGGAAAAATTACCTTGGCGACGTACCCAACCCCTGCGCAAACGCGGGGCGCAAATAGTTTAGGACACTTTATAAGGGGAGCGATGACGGAGCGAGGGTTACCTATGTCTGCAGACAGAATTCGGGACACTCGCAGGACACTCGCTACAAGACAAGGACTAGATAAAGCTGATTAGCTACAATCCCCGAGCAACCCTAGCCACTTCGAAAGCGGTGATCTCAGATCGCAGCCCCCGAGGGATGGCGAGGTCTAAGTTGGGTCCGCGCGTGGCGTCACTGTGCTGGGCCCCCCAGCAGGCCTCGAAAGTGGCGACAGTTTCACAGATCGCAGCCCCCCAGGGATGGCGAGGTCTAATTTGTCCGCCCGTGGCGTCACTGTGCTGGGCCCCCCAGCAGGCCTCGAAAGTGGCGACAGTTTCACAGATCGCAGCCCCCCAGGGATGGCGAGGTCTAATTTGAATCCGCCCGTGGCGTCACTGTGCTGGGCCCCCCAGCAGGCCTCGAAATGGCGGCAGTTTCGCAGATCGCAGCCCCCCAGGGATGGCGTGGTCTAATTTGAATCCGCGCGTGGCCCTCACTGTGCTGGGCCCCCCAGCAGGCCTCGAAAATGGCGACAGTTTCGCAGATCGCAGCCCCCCAGGGATGGCGAGGTCTAATTTGAATCCGCGCGTGGCCCTCACTGTGCTGGGCCCCCCAGCAGGCCTCGAAAATGGCGACAGTTTCGCAGATCGCAGCCCCCCAGGGATGGCGAGGTCTAATTTGAATCCGCCCGTGGCCCTCACTGTGCTGGGCCCCCCAGCAGGCCTCGAAAGTGGCGACAGTTTCACAGATCGCAGCCCCCCAGGGACGGCGAGGTCTAATTTGGGTCCGCGCGTGGCCCTCACTGTGCTGGGCCCCCCAGCAGGCCTCGAAAATGGCGACAGTTTCGCAGATCGCAGCCCCCCAAAGGATGGCGAGGTCTAATTTGGGTCCGCGCGTGGCGTCACTGTGCTGGGCCCCCCAGCAGGCCTCGAAAGTGGCGACAGTTTCACAGATCGCAGCCCCCCCTCCCCCCTGGGATGGCGAGGTCTAATTTGAATCCGCCCGTGGCGTCACTGTGCTGGGCCCCAGCAAGCCTCGAAATGGCGACAGTTTCACAAATCGCAGCCCCCCAGGGATGGCGAGGTCTAATCTGAATCCCCGTGTCACTGCTGGGCCCCCCAGCAGGCCTCGAAAATGGCGACAGTTTCCAGATCGCAGCCCCCCAGGGATGGCGAGGTCTAATTTGAACCCCCGTGGCCCTCACTGTGCTGGGCCCCCCAGCAGCCTCGAAAATGGCGACAGTTTCACAGATCGCAGCCCCCCAGGGATGGCGAGGTCTAATTTGAATCCGCGCGTGGCCCTCACTGTGCTGGGCCCCCCAGCAGGCCTCGAAAATGGCGACAGTTTCGCAGATCGCAGCCCCCCAGGGATGGCGAGGTCTAATTTGAATCCGCGCGTGGCCCTCACTGTGCTGGGCCCCCCAGCAGGCCTCGAAAATGGCGACAGTTTCGCAGATCGCAGCCCCCCAGGGATGGCGAGGTCTAATTTGAATCTGCGCGTGGCCCTCACTGTGCTGGGCCCCCCAGCAGGCCTCGAAAATGGCGACAGTTTCGCAGATCGCAGCCCCCCAGGGATGGCGAGGTCTAATTTGAATCTGCCCGTGGCCCTCACTGTGCTGGCCCCCCCAGCAGGCCTCGAAAATGGCGACAGTTTCGCAGATCGCAGCCCCCCAGGGATGGCGAGGTCTAATTTAAATCCGCCCGTGGCCCTCACTGTGCTGGCCCCCCAGCAGGCCTCGAAAATGGCGACAGTTTCACAGATCGCAGCCCCCCAGGGATGGCGAGGTCTAATTTGAATCTGCGCGTCGCCCTCACTGTGCTGAGCCCCCCAGCAGGCCTCGAAAATGGCGACAGTTTCACAGATCGCAGCCCCCCCAGGGATGGCGAGGTCTAATTTGAATCTGCGCGTCGCCCTCACTGTGCTGGGCCCCCCAGCAGGCCTCGAAAATGGCGGCAGTTTCACAGATCGCAACCCCCCCAGGGATGGCGAGGTCTAATTTGAATCTGCGCGTCGCCCTCACTTTGCTGGGCCCCCCAGCATGCCTCGAAAATGGCGACAGTTTCACAGATCGCAGCCCCCCGCAGGCAAGACAGGAAGAGGCAGGGAGGGAGGGAGGAGGAGGAAGGAAGGAAGGAGTGGAGACCACACTGCTCTATTCAGAACGAATACCCAACCAAGGAGGGTTGGGAAAAACATTACCCTGTGACGTACCCAACCCATTTGTATCAATGGAAACGAGGAGTTGGCCAAAACTTGCATGGACAATCAACTTGATGTGTAAGCTGCTTGGGACACGCGCCTATGGCATGATGCGCAGGAGAACCATATAAGAACGAGGGGCGACAGCTACAGGCTCGAAGAGGACATGGGGAGTCGGGAACGCAGAGCAGGAGAAAAACGTGCGGGAAGCCAAACCATCAGCACGGCAGCAGCAGAGGGAAGGTGACTGCAGGAGGAAAACAAGGACGAAAGCGGCGTCTAATTTGAGTCTGCGGTGGGTACCCACTGTGCTGTGCCCCTCAGCAGCCCTCGAAAGTGGCGACAGTTTCACAGATCGCAGCCCCCCAGGGATGGTGAGGTCTAATTTGAGTCTGCGGTGGGTACC